AGCAATTCGTTACCGGAGGGCCGCGCCTCCGCGTTCGTACGAAAGCTATAGGAGACCACGGATTATTGCTAATCCGCGATAGCCGCCGCGGCGTAAGATTAGGAGCGGCACGCTAATAAGACTAGGGCCCTAGTAGATAGGTTTACGGCAGGAGATAAGGTATAGCTAGACCTCCGTAACTATAGGTCGGCACGGCTAAAGAAAAAGCTTAACTAGCTATACGCGAAGTTTACGGTACGGAGGGTTATTAGCCTATAGGTTATAGAGCTCGATAGTCTCCTAATAGGGGTCTATAATAAGATTAACGTAGACCTCCTTCGTAGAGCCTCCTCTAACCCGCTGCCTAGATAAGAAGCAGCGGACGCCTAACCGCCCGCAATCGAGGTAGAGGGAGAGGACGAGTTCGAGGTCGAAGAGATACGGGCCGCGCGCTAGAAAAAGGTCGGCAGGGGGAAACGCCGGGAGGTCCTCGTTAAGTAGCGCGGGTATCTCGACCCTACGTAGGAACCCGTATATAAGTTTACGGGAACCATAGCCCTCGATAAGTTTAAAGCCTTATTTAGAACGGTAGACGAGAACGACGGACTAGCGGACTACCGATAGTAGCCCGGGCTAGGACCACGAAGTAGGCATAGCGGAGGGGGCAGTCACGGTAATATAAGCAATATAAGCGCAATAGTACGGGCGGAGACAAAAACAGCGTTTATTACGGGGCAGAGCCCCTAGACTACCCGGGCCTATTCCTTATCGTTATTATTATCTTCGTTATTGTCGTCCTCGTCGGCCTCCTCCTTCTTATTAGCGGCGGCGGCGGTCTCTAGGGCGCTAAGGCGGCCCTCTAAGCCCGTAAGCTAGTCGGCGGCGGCGGCGGCTCCGGGGGTAGAGGGGCGGCGGCCAGCGGCGGCGGCAGGGGCAGCGGCGGTGGCGGAGGCGGGCACGGCCAAGGGGACCGCCGACAGGGCGACGGAGGCAGTGTCCCTAGCGCCGGGTGCGTTAGAGGCGGAAATAGGGGAGCGGAGGAGTAGGACTTACTTAGGCATAAGGCCCCACCGCTCGAGGGCGCGGAGGTTACGGTAGGCGGCGGCGGCGGCGGTAAGGCGCTTCTTAGCAGCCCCCCGCGCCTGCCTATACGAGCCGGCCTTCTAAGCCGACGCCGCAGCGAGCAGGACGGGAGGCGCCGCCTTATAGGCGCGGCCGGCTCGCGCGCACTAGTAGCAGCTGCCGCCGCGGCGGCGCCCGGCCTAGTCGGAGCAGTCGAGCTCTTGCGACGCACAACGCATATAGGGGGCTAAGCGGGCGGCGCCGGCCTATACTTAGCGCTTATGCTATAGGAGGTTAGCGGATAACGTCTATTACGCTTACCTAACTGCGGACTTACGGGGGTAGCGGAGACGGAGGCGGGGGCCGAGGGGCCGGGCGTCACGGGTGGCGGCGGGGACGGCGTCGTCACCCTAAGGGGCGACGTGAGAGCGAATAGCGTAGTAGAGGCGGCGGCGGCGGCGGTAGGAGCGGTGGTAGCGGCGCGGGCAGGAGCGGCGGCAGCGGCGGAGTCGTCGTCGGCCGCGGCTAGCACGGCGTCGACGAACGACTCCGCACGCTCCGAGAAGGAGGAGGTAGGAGAGGGAGAGGCGGATATATCTATCGCGGAAGTTAGCACGACGGAATGCGGCCTCCCGCTCTATAAGGCGCGGAACTTACTAGTTAGAGTTATTGTTGTTATTAGGGCTATTATTGCTGCTGCCGCTGCTACTACGAGCATACGTTAATAGAGCGGCCCGTATAGCTAGGAACGGACTAACGCCCCGGGTAGAGCGGAACTTACCTATTAATACTGCTATTGCGGTTAAAGAAAGGAGAGAAGGAAGGGAAGGGGGAAGGGGGGGATGCCGCCTTATATACCCCTTAGTAGAGGATGCTGCCTAAGGCAAAGGGGACGGGCAACCTAAGGCTTACGTAGGTCCGGACCAGCCGCCGGCTACCTAGGGGCGTATATAATAGGTTACGCCCTTATTTAAACGGCTAGCCGGCCGACGAGTATAGAGCTAGGTCCCGGCTGCCCGGGCTAACGGGCGCGGGGACAATAGGGCTAGTAGGGCCGGCCCTATTAACGGGAAAGGGCAGGGAAGAGCCCGCGGCACGGGCCTAATTATACGGGAGCCGTTAATAGGGCAGCGCTGCGCCGCGCTCGAGGGAGGGCATTGTATAAGAGTCTTTAACTATTATAGGTAATGGGCTTAGGCCGCGGCCTAAGCCGTGTAGTTACGTGCGGAGGGCCGGATCCCGTAAGTATAGGGGCGGGCCAGCCGCGCATAGAAGAGCTCTACATAGCTTATTAATATCATCCTACGGACGGCACCTACGCATACGCCTCTGCCTACTCCGTAATAGTAAGTAAGGTATATATAATTCTCTACTAATACCCTATTAATATATTAGTACTATATACCTAAGTACTTTATTAGCCTATACCTCTTAGTAGCGCTCTTATAAGCTCCTATAATATATACTATATATAGGGGGCCGCGTAAGCGGCTCTAGCCTAGACTTAGCGCTTATACTTTAAGAGGTTAGCGGAAGACGTTTATTATACTTACTTAACTATAGACTTATAGGGGTAGCGGAGATAGAGGCGGGGGCCGAGGGGCCGGGCGTTATAGGTAGTAGTAGGGACAGCGTCGTTACCTTAAAGGGCGATATAAAGGTAGCTAGCGTAGCGTAGGTAGTAGCGGCGGCGGTAGGCGCGGTAGTAAGGGCATAGATAGGAGTAGCGGTAGCGGCGGAACTATCGTTAGCTATACCTAGTATAGCGTTAACGAATAACTTTATACGCTCTAAGAAGGAGAAGGTAAGGGAGGGGGAGGTAGATATATTTATTATATAAGTTAGTATAATAAATTATAGCCTCTTACTTTATAAGGTAGGGAACTTATTAGTTAAAGTTATTATTATTATATAAGAGCGTTACTAAGAGGTATAGGCTAATAAGGTACTTAGGTATATAGTACTAATCTATTAGTAGGGTATTAGTAGGGTATTAGTAGGGAATCGTACTTACTTAGCTTACGAGTTATAAACTACTCGCTACTTTAACTAAAGAGGAGAAATTCCTTTTCTTATAAGCTTTAGTCTTATAACGAGGAGAATATAATATATATAGCGTAGTACCTTTAGCTATCTCTACTACCTAACTAATCGTACTATAATATATATTCCCTTATATATTATTAAGGCTATTATTACTATTATAGCTATTACTATTAGTATATATTAATAGGGCGGCCTATATAGCTAAGAACGAACTAACGCCTTAAGTAAAGTAGAACTTACTTATTATTACTACTACTATAGTTAAAGAAAGGAGAGAAGAAAAAGAAAGAGGAAAAAAAGGATACCGCCTTATATACCCCTTAGTAGAGGAGGCTGCCTAAGGCCGAGGGGACGGGTAACCTAAGGCTTACGTAGGTCGAGGCCGGCCGCCGGCTACCTAAGGGCATATATAATAGGTTGCGCCCTTATTTAAATAGCTAGCTAGCCGATAAGTATAGAGCTACGTTCCGGCTACCCGGGCTAATAGGCGCGGGGATAATAGGGCTAGTAGGGCTAGTATAATTAACGGGAAAGGGTAGGGTAGAGCTAGTAGCACGGGCCTAATTATATAGAAGCTATTAATAGGGCAGCGCCGCGCCGCGCTTAAGGGAGGGCATTATATAAGAGTCTTTAACTATTATAGGTTATAGGCTTAAGCTATAGCCTAAGCTATATAGTTATATATAAAGGGCTAGATCCTATATATATATATACGGGCTAGCTATATATAGAAGAGCTCTATATAGCTTATTAATATTATTCTACGGACGGCACCTATATATACGCCTCTGCCTACTCCGTAATATTAAAAGGAGTAACCTAGGGGCCCTAGGGCCCTTAGGGGGGGAAAACACCGCGTAGGAGGAATCGGGATTAACCTTTCCTTTATCTTTACCTTTATAGCTACCCTTTCCCTAATTAGTTATAAGCCCCCGGGCTCTATAGCTAGCTAGGACTGCTAATAGGGGCCTAGGCCCCTATTAGCCTCGCCATGGCCCTAGAGGCTATATGCGAGTAATAATATTAAAAAAAAAGATAGAAAACATACATTATCGTTTAGACTTAATTGTGCCTGCCCTTATCCTTCCGCCCGCGCTCTCAGCTTGCTGAGAGTATGATACCTTTGATGGTATTAGCGATTGCACCAGTAAGGTTTCCGGAACGTTTCGGGATGACCTCCAGAAGGCCATGACCAGCAGTTCAATTACGAAGCGCAGTGGGGAGAGATCAGCATGTGCTATCTCAAGAAGCAGAGAGGTAAGTACACCGCTATTCATAACTCCCTACGCACCAGCTGATGCGGCTTTCCTGACACTTCGCTACCAGACACGGAAATTCCAAGCGACATGGTTGACGATGCCTCGAACAATCCAGGGCCGATAGGAGCCCCCAATGAACCTGCCGACGCGACGTTTGGTCTTCAGCCATCACGTACGTATTTCGAGTTTCCGTTACGCAATAGAATCAGATGGGATGACGCAGCGGACCAAGGTTTAAATATAGCTAATGTCTTACCAGCCACTATTGAGAGCTGCGGCGGCGACAAACTGATGTTTTTGAAGACCAAACTAATGGCAGGCTGAATGAGGTCGGTTCATCGGTCTGGACTTCCCATTGTGGATCTGAGGGCAGTGAGTTATGCACAAAGGTGAAAAATTCGATTTTGAAGCCGCGAGGATGTAATCACTACAAGACCCAACGAACCTGGTGGTAGCCTGGTCATTCATGCTTGACCGTTCATTGATGGACAGAACGACATGGCCAGGCAGGGAAGAGCCACTATGTGATTGGTTGAGACATCCCGTCAGGCGTCGTAGGAGCTTGCTTCTACGCATGGAAATCTCGTGAACTTTTGTAAAGTAAGAAGCCCTGTGATGCAACGTGTGGTGTTGATGCTTGATTCACATCATTTCTCATTTCGATCCCGCAAGAGTCCGGCACGCAGCCCTGTGGTCTTTAAAGTGCGCCACCTGACACTCCCTCTTGCAGTACTTGACGGCCTTGCATCTGCCGCACGACATCAACGCACCAGACCTGTTCCCGCAGTTGGCGCACTGTGTCGCTGGTGGACGAAAAATCGCCTCCAGCAGATCTTCGGCCGTCTTTTTGGCCCGCGTCAAGATGCGCTGCTCGCCCGCACTGACCTGTGCCGCTGCCCAAGCGTTGCCCCCCGCGGGGTAGTCTTCCACGGCGAGCTTTGCCTCGAGCTCTTCCAGCGGGATACCGAAGCTCTCTAGGAGGGTGCCTATCGAATCGACCAAAAATTGCAGCACCTGCATCTCGTTTCCATCACTGACCTTGCCGTCTGTGCCATTCACCAGCTGCAGAGTCATGTCTGTGATGTTGGATTCGTCCAGTCGCTGGATTCGGAGGTATCGAAGCACGCTATTCGGAAGTGGGTCCTTCACGGTGAGGGAAATGGTGCATGTTGAGCCGAGCCCTGCCAGCGCCCAGAGCCTTTCCTTCTGCTCGTAGAGGGGGGCCATTGGGCTCGTCTGGAGCACGAGGTCGTAACTGTCGTTGGGGTTCTCCAGCAGAACAAAGCCGTAAAGACGCAAAAGTCGGTTGTTCGGCACGCTGCCGTAGTAGATGAATATCTGTCATTTTAACATCAGGTTATCTTTTTAGAAATTGCGCATCGACAGAGATTAGCAGAGTGGTCGGCAAACCTGATCTCCGACTTGGTAGTCCCTCGCGGCATGGATGGAGAGGTCTCCAGACTTTGGATCGTAAGCATGGCACTGCTTTGCGTCGAGAGAATGGTTTAGCATGTCTGCCAGAGGGGCCACGAGCCGAACCGAAGTCGTCTCTGAGACTGCAAAGTCCATTGCACGGCTCCATATTGAGCAAAGAGCCCATTTGTACTAATAACGTAAAAGTAAGCTCGTCAGCGACAGGGAACGAGTCAGGGTGCGGCAGGAGGCAATGAAACGTACATCTTCCATCGTAAATTGGTCTAGAGGGAAGAGATCGCGATGCTGGCTCAGCAGCTGCACATGCAGCTGCCTGTAGTCGTCCTGCACACGCTGTTCCAGCTGCGAGGTGAGTGTATAGAGCGAGGATCCCTCGCAGACTCGCAGCTCGTCATTTGTAAAGAATACGCTTGCCGAGTAGCTCTGCGGCATCGCAGCGATATGATGTCGACGGCCCTCATAGCCTGATGTTCGCGACTTGACAAAGAGGAGATAGACGGCCAAAGTATCCTCAACCGACAAGGGCGGCCGCGCAGAGCGAAGAACCGGTCCAAGGAGCGGATCGGCGCGCGCCCCTTCTACCTTCCACAAGCAAGCAGAAGGGATGGTTAGGATGCGCTCTCCTTCTTTGAAGCTACGCAGTGCTTTGACACCGCGTCCGGTAACGGGAAAATCAGCAACCTCTATGCCATCCACACCTAAGGCCCCCGATTGCTTCAGCCAAGCCTCCATGGATCTGGAATGGATAAAGCTAAATAAAAGCGTCCTTTAGACAAAAAGAGAAAATGAACCTAAAACAAAAAGTAGTGACGAAGATGATTGCGCTGCCGCCGAGTTCAAAAATTCCGCAGACGACTTTTCGGGTGGTGGCGGGGCACGTCATGAATCCTCGCAGCCACTAACGTAATCCACCCCCTTCCCGGTCACACCCCCTACCCGCTCAAAAATTCTCCACCGACGCGAACCGCACCTCACGTCACGACCAACCGAGCATAATAGACGGCAATTAATTCTAAGAGACAAATAAGCAAGTTAATTTAGAACTATCTATCTATTACACGTCCGAGCATTGCGTTTAAAAGACCTATATTTACTATACCGTGGTGGTGCACGCTATCTTAGGACGCATAGCTCTTCTCTCTACCGTCGGGCCTGCTCCTCCTCGATAAGTTATTGCCGTGCCCGCTTATCCTCCCTTGCCCTTAGTCGCCTAGCGCGTTCCTATTCTTTTCTCGCCGTCGCTCGGCCCGCTCTTACTTTCTTATCGTCGCTTAACCCGCTCTTCTTCTTTATCCCTCCGTCGCTTTATCCTAGCCATGCCTTCTACGACGGATAGAGCACTACCGTTACTAATATACTCGCGTCGTTGCTCTCTCTTCCTCTTTCGCCGTTAGTTTTCCGACTAAAGCTATCTATTTTCGTCGGCGAGTAGCGCCGCACTATATATAGCAATTTAATATCCTTAATAAGCTAGTTTATAGCCTATAAGACTAGCGAGCTTATATTTTATAGTCGGTACTAAAGAAGTCCTTTTATATAAGTAGTAAGCTAGCTAATATTATAAAATATCTTATAGGCTTCTAAGCTTTTATAGGGGCTTAGAATATACCTATCGCTATTATTATTATTATTATATATACTATTCCTATTAACTAAATCGCGTAACTATAATAGAACCTAGGTCGGATTAAATAAGGAAAGGCCTATAGCTATAAATCTACTATAAATATTTAATAGGGAGAGTACTTATTAATAGGCCTCGATATATAAAGGTAAGAAGTCCTCTTTCTTAATATAGTTATAAGGGCTTTTACCCTATATAGGCCTAGACTAGGGTCTAGGCTAAGTCTATATATAAGCGGCCTCTACGCTTATATAGGCTAAGCCCGTACTTCTCTTCCTTTTCCCTCTTATAGATTATTAACCTTCTTTTAATAGACTATACCTAAGCCTACGCTTTAACCTACTCTATAATAGTATAATCTACCTTTTATTTTACCCTCTTTATATCCCTATATATATAATTTTTAGCTGCCTTTAAAGCTAATATTTAATTACTTAGTTTAGTTAAACCGCCTACGCTAGTATATATATACGTAAAATATCTATACTCCGATAGTCGTAAAATTAAGGTTAATATAATACTTAGTTTACTTAGGTAATTAAGAGCCTCTTATAATAGTAGGGCTCTATATAACTAAGAGCGGTACTACTATACCTTAATAAGTTTAATAGCTCTTTTATAGAGCTTAAGCTATAGCTACTTTATATAGAAGCGAAGCTCTATACTATTAAAAGGTATAGGTAATAAGCTTAGGCTCGTATAATCAATAGTATAAGCGGAAAGAGCGGTCGAAGGAGTATAGGGTAGGATTTAGTCCGGAATTTATAACGAGTATATAAGGAGCTAAATAATATATTAAAAGAATAGTATTATAAAAGATACTTATAAACTTCCTTCTTTTATTTACTACTCCTAGGGAAATCCTTTGTCTTTTATAGACTATTGCTCGCTTACTAGTAGACTAATTAGTTAGTTTTCTAGTATATTCTAAAGTGCTTAAAAAGCTCTATCTATAGTATGTCTTCCGGACTTAGTAGGTATAAGAAACGGTGTTCCTATTATTAATAAAGCAGCTATAATATACTCTCTGGATTATATAAGCTAATAAGTAGTATATTAATTATAGATAAAATCCTATCCTATAGAGCAAGAATCGCTCGTTATTTTGCATGTTATTATGCATTAAACGGGTTGCCGGTTATCGTATAATCGGGAATCGAATAAATAGAGCTAGCTTAGAATACTAGCTAAGACCTCTTAAGAATACTAGCACGACCAACCTCTTTTAAACATAAATATTAGTAGAACTAAGACACTTCTAGATATACTCGAGGTATCACGGAATTTCTTAGTCTTAGGGCTATATAGTAGCCTAAATTTAGTCTTAAAAGGTTCTTCCGTTTAGCTATAATTATCTATATAAGATAGTATATCCGCTAGTAGATAGAGAAAGAATTATTAACTTTAACACCTCTTCTATATACTAATATTCTACTAATAAATTCTATTAAAAATCCTACCTTATACTCCTTCTTCCCCTCTATTATATAGTCTTATATAATTCCTTAATTTCCTAAAATTCCGCTTTTACTTATATACCTTAAAAGTAGGTAGTCTAATTATAGTATAATAGTTAACGTAAGACTATAGTTTAACGGGGACGAGGGTATATACCTAAAGCACGCGTAGTATATAGCTAAGGATTAATAGAGTAATTAACTATATAATTATCTAATTATCGGTCTTATATATAGCTTTAAGGGCCTTAGGTTATAAATATAAGTCTTAGAGATTTCTTTACTCTATACTTCTTTATCTCTACTAAAGTCGCGTAACTAGCGGCCTTTACTTTAAAGGGGGAAAATAAAAATTTAAATTAACTATAATTAAGGAAGATACCTAATTAGATAATTAAGGTCTTTATAAAGCCTTTAAGTATACTTAGAAGTAAGTTAAAAGGGGAGTACTAAGGGTCTTATCCTTTTAACGGGCTAATATCTATAGGGGTGCGATCTTACCTATTAAACTCCTCCCTAGCGACTTTCCGACCTAAGATACTAACGGAAAGGGCGCGATAATAATAAGTAAGGCTCTCTTCTTAAGTATATAAGTAAGTAAATAAACTATTAATAGAACTTTTCTCCTTTACTATAATCTCTTCCCTTCGCGTTATTTATTTCTCTTTTTACCTACGAGCTACTTATTTAGCTCTTTCCTATCTTTACTTATATACTTCCTTTTTTAGATAAAGAATTAAATCTCTCTACTCTGCCTATCCGACCCCTTACTTCTAATTTTACCTTTATATATTTTTATATACGTCTCGTATCTCTCTTTGCGAGAATTATATAAGCTAATAAGTAGTATATTAATTATAGATAAAATCCTATCCTATAAAGTAAGAATCGCTCGTAATATTATATATTATTATATATTAAACGGGTCGCCGGTTATTATATAATCGGGAATCGAAGGAATAGAGCTAGCTTAGAATACTAGCTAAGACCTCTTAAGAATACCGACATAACTAACCTCCTTTAAAAATAAATATTAGCGGAACTAAGATACTTCTAGCTATACTTAAGGCATTACTAAATTCCTTAGTCTTAGGGCTATACGGTAGCTTAAGTCTAGTCCTAAAAGGTTCTTCCGTTTAGCTATAATTATCTATATAAGGCAGTATATCCGCTAGGATAGAGATATAATTATTAACTTTAATACCTCTTCTATATACTAATATACTACTAATAAATTCCGTTGAAAATTCTACCTTATACTCCTTCTTCCTTTCTATTATATAGTCTTACGTAATTCCTTAATTTCCTAAAATTCCGCTATTACTTATATACCTTAAGATTAGGTTAGGGGTTAAAGTTAAAGGGGCCCTCCTTAGGTCTAGGCTAGGGTCCTAGGTTAGGTCTAGGCTAGGTCCTATTAGCGGGGGGCATATACCCTTAGTTAGCGAGGGCAGGGAAGAGTTTTCTACTTATATAAGAGAGAACCTCGCTTAATTCGTAATCTTCGGTAGTATATTACGCACCTACTAGTAGCTATACGCGGCTATACTTAGGGGAGCGTAATACGCTATTCGCGACGGTTCTAAGCGTATACTTATTTTATATTTTAGGCTTAGTTTCGAAAAGTTAGCTAAGAAAACATAATAATACTAACGTTATTATTTTAGAAGGTAATATAAGGGCGGCTAGCGTAATAAAAGTAATAGTAGTAGCGGTAGGTATAGTAGTAAGGGTATAAGTAAGAGCGGCGGTAGCGGCGGAGTTATTATTTACTATAGCTAATATAGCGTCGATAAATAACTCTATACGCTCTAAGAAAGAAGAGGTAAGAGAGGGGGGGTAGATATATTTATCGCGGAAGTTAGTATAATAGAACGCGGCCTTTTACTTTATAAAGTAAGGAACTTATTAGTTTAAGTTATTATTACTATTATAGCTATTATTACTACTATAGCTATTATTACTACTATAGCTATTTTAACGGGGGCATCTATACCCCAAGGAACACACACAGCCCGCGCAGCAGAGTCTTTGGCAGGGTCCTTGGCAGGATCCTTGGCAGAGTCTCTGGCTAGCCCTCTTCTTGATCAGATGATCCCTTGGCCCCTGTTCGTCTAGGGAAGAAGGAGGAAAATTCGGTCTATAAAAGAGGTCTCTTTTCCTCCTTAGCTAGCAGATAGCATTAGCATTAGCATCTTCTTCTATTATTATTATCTTCTTCTATATCTTTTCTCCGCTAATATACCTTTTTTGGCCCTCTTTGCCTTTGCCTTGCCCTGCCTAGTGCTTTCTCGTTTCCTTCGTCCCCCTTAGACCCCCTCGTCCTTCGGTATCTAGCTGCTGCTGTTGCC